TTGTTTTTTTTGCGAAATAAGATTCATGGTGATTTTTGCGGATTTTTTCGGATTTTCTTTATCTGGCGGTGGCATACCTGAATATTTTTATGAGTTGTGCCGTATTTTGACTTTCCCCACAGGCTCGTCAAATTCAAACAAGGAGTGAAAGTACTAGGCAATACTACAAACCAATGAATAGTCTACTACGTTATTTATGATCCAACTGTTTTTTATTCCGCCATGTCTTTCTGCTCATTTCTCATAAGGCGGGAAAAGCAAAGTGGATAGAGAAGCGCAGCGTGCGTAGCCGACTGGTTAAACAGGTTTTTTTTACAGTACAAAATAACCAACTGTACACATGTGGTATATACATATATTTGCATTATTTGAACTCTAGCTTGTGCAGTTGGATTATAAAACCAAATTATCTCGTTGTACCCCTCACCGACGCAGCACCACAATTTCCTTAGAAACTAAACCCAGTTATTCATACATTGTTGATTACAATGCCTGCACCTGGTGCGAGGCCAAAAGCAACCAAAATATATTTAATAGACTGCGCCTGGAGTAGAAATCTCCCAAAAACTCAGCATACTTCGTATACACATACCTTAACATTACTAAAATACTTCTCGAGCGCTTCACATGACTCTCACTTTCATACGATCTGATTAGTTATACTTTATTTTTATTATTTTTACATTTTTTTATTATTTTACGTTTTTCCAGTCTATCGAGTTCATGTTCCATTCAAAGCCGTTTTCTTCTTGATTAGTGTTCTTTGTTTGAAAGAAATTTGATCATATGAATTAACGTTTAAGCGTCTGACGAAAATGAAATACCGTATGCATAAATCAATTGATTGAACAGCTCGTTAAAAGGAAATGTGTAGCAGCGAGAGAGGAGAATTAACAATCAGATCTTGGGAGTTAAGGGGTTTAAGTCTTTTGGAGTGATAGAATTATCACTAGTTCTTCGGATTAGACAGAGATACTCTACTAGATTAAATCGTTTTGTAAAGAATCCTTTTACGGTGGCATATATGCGTTGGTAACGAAAATCTGAAAAGGAGAGGCGAACATTAATTAATATGACATGAGCCCCAAAAAATGTTTAGCGAAGACGTACATCAATCAACAAAAAAGTCTTCCTCGGCGTTACTTCCTAGTTCCCAGAAAAGAGTATGCGTAGCCTCCATGCTAAAGTTTTAAACTGCTTTCCCCTATGAAGGAGACTGTCAGCGTAGCTCAGTTCAATGAACAATAGCTTTGTAAAATTAGTTTAAAACATTTGCGCTCGTTTTCTACTCACTTTGAATTAGAAATGTGAATTCAAACTTTCTGCGTCCTTAGAGATAGATTGTGAACGCAGTCTCGTCTGGCTACCACGATGGCAAAACACCTTAGCGATCTCGTGTTTACCAATTTGTTCACCTTCCCTGGAAATGGTTTCTTGTTGCTGTTCACCTTCCTCGAGTGTAACATCAACGACACCACTGTCTTTTACCGCACCTACAAGAGTGGGCATCTCCACTTGTCCTGTTTGCAGTTGATTATCAAGGACATTCGTCTCAACCATACCAGTTACTTCCGCCTGCAGGCCACTGAGGGGGAGGAGCAGGGCCAGGAAGCAGGAGAGGGACCACTGTGGATTTTTTTGCCATTCCTTGAAGTATCCTTACAAATGTAGGACATACTGAACTAAAAATTAAGATGTATGGGAATGATTTTGAATTCAGAAAACTATTGCTTTACTTTTCAAAAAAATATTTTCAACCTGGCAACAATAGAAGAATATCTTCCATAAAGTAATGACATAAGCACAATCAGATGACTTTTGCCACCTCAAGTCATAGTGACTCAGAAGAGCTACGATCTCATCTTACTTTATTATTTTACTATTATTTCTTAATCCCGACCGACAAACCAAGAACACTACACAATGACCTGGCCAGGTTTCGAACCCAGACCTCTTGACCCGGAGTCCAGCGCACTAACCATTACGCCATCGCGTCTCCCTCATAGGGGTAAAATCACGTGATTCTGCCTCGTCATCATGCGCACTGACGAAGTCACGTGAGAAGCATTAACCGCCCGAGGAATCAGTGCATTTTCCCGTCTTGCCTGAGACGGTCGAGAAATACGAAATCTAACTTGGAAATCAAGAAAACCTTTCAACGTCGACGTAAACTGTCATACAATCAAAGAAAAACAGGAGAAACTCTTCTCAGCTACCTTATCAAAGACCGTCAACATGACAAACAAGCAAAATCCAGAAGAAATATCAGCACTTGACTCAAGCAAACATGGCGACTCGCCAAACTCACTCGGGAAACCCGACTCTATTATCGAAGCACTCTCGCTTATGACTAAACAACTAGTGTCCTCTATTACCACACTCAACTCCTCAATGGACCACTCATTTACTGAGATGAATGAGACTTTAGGAAACCTCGCATACGTCGAGGAATCTGCCAATGAAGAAGGCTCGGTAAACTCCGACGCGGAGAAAGAGACCGACAAGGCGCCAAACAAAGACAGCGCTAGCACTAAGGACCAAAACCTATCGGGGTCCAGCACCGCTAATAACGTCAACAATCAGCTGACGTTGACAAATAGAGCACCAGAAATTTCTCAGGTTTGTGTGGAGGGACAACCTCTATCAATATGTGTGTCTACCAAATGGGTTAAGCTCTGCACCCCGTATGTTTACCAAGCTGCTCAAACCTGTGTTTAAAGTCCTTAGAGAAAAAGGCCTCTTGTCATCTGCATACATAGATGATCTTTATCTGCAAGGAGATACCTTTCATGAGTGTCTTGAAAATGCCTTGAACACAGTGCAACTGCTTAGAGATCTTGGATTTGTAGTCCAAGAGGAAAAGTCTTGTCTGCATCCCTCTCAACAACTCGAGTATTTGGGCTTTATCCTGAACTCAGTGTCAATGACGGTACGACTCTCTCATGCTAGAGTTGAGAAGGTGGTCCAAGCATGTGAAAAGCTTCTCAGTAACTCCCATCCCACCATACTTCATCTAGCAGAGGTTATTGGGCTTATGGTCTCCAGCTTCCCCGCCGGGGAACATGGCCCATTACACTACCGTAGCCTTGACATTGAGAAAATTGAGGGTTTGAGACAAACTAAAGGCAATTTCTCTAGTGAAATATCTCTACCTGTTAATTCAAGAGAGGAACTGCAGTGGTGGATTGCAAACCTACTTTTTTCCTGTAAAGCAATCTCACATGGTGAAGCTGATATAGTAATCCAAACTGATGCCTCTTCTCAAGGTTGGGGAGGGGTGCATGGCGACCAGAGAGCAGGGGGCAGATGGACCCCCACAGAAGCACTAAATCACATCAATTACCTTGAACTGCTCGCTATATTTTTATCCCTCAAAGCTTTGTGTGGTGCACACAAAAATAAACACATCCAGGTGCAATGTGACAACACTACTGCAGTGTCCTACATAAATAACATGGGTGGAAGTAAATCCATTCCATGTAATGAGGTAACTAAACAAATCTGGGCCTTGTGTATTGCTAATAATAACTGGCTCAGTGCTATATATTTACCTGGATGTAAAAATGTAGAAGCTGATGCAGAATCTAGGGTATTTAATGACTGCACAGAGTGGATGTTAGATCCACAGATATTCAAGAGGATTACCAATAAGTTTGGTAGTCCTGAAATTGACCTCTTTGCATCCCGTTTGAATAAACAATGTGCCAAATACTCATCATGGCGTCCAGACCAGGAAGCTTTGTTCGTGGATGCATTTTCTGTAAATTGGAATAATTTATTCTTTTATGCATTTCCTCCTTTTAGTCTAATTGGGAGATGTCTGGAGAAATTACATGCAAACCAAGCAGAGGGCATTCTTATAGTGCCACGGTGGATGAGCCAAAGCTGGTACCCCAAACTACTCAGACTGCTGGTGGAGGTATCCATTGTTATTCAGCCCAAGAGGGATCTGTTCGTTTTGCCGGGGACTCAACAACTACACCCATTACGGGAGAAACTGACTTTCTTGGCATGTCATTTGTCAGGAAACTTTTCGAAGACAGAGGTTTTTCTAAGAAAACAACCGACATTATCATGCACTCATGGAGGGACTCGTCCCGTAAACAATATGATGTGCACATTCGCAAATGGATCCTACTCTGTTCTGCAAGGAAAATTGATCTAATTTACACAAATATAACTGACGCACTAGAATTTTTGGCTACCATGTTTGATCAGAAATTGAGCTATAGTAGTATTAATTCAACCTGTTCAACTCTTTCAACCATCTTACAGACTTCAAGTAATTGTAACTACACATTTGGTGAACACCCAGACGTTAAACGCTTTATGAAGGGTGTTTATCAGAACAGGCCACCTATGCCCAGATACAACAAGACATGGGATGTAAATGTTGTACTACAGTGCTTGCGGGGCATGGGAAAGGCAACAGAACTATCGATTAAGGAACTGACCTTAAAGCTAGTTATGCTTATAGTGCTTACCACAGCATGTTCTCGGCTTGAGGAAGTGAATGGGGTGGTCTTTTTGAGTCATCTTCTGAATATATTTACAGCAGAGCTGAGTTCGTCTTTCTTTCAAGCTGCTAAGGTTGGTAGTATTAAGGGCATCTAAGTTACTATGGCATGGATAGATGATATGTAGTGCCCTTTTTTTAATTGACTTCAGCTTATTTGAAAGAAATTCAGGAATATCTTGCCAGAATTGTACGCCATATTCTAGTATAGGTTTTATTGTTGTCAAATAAACTTTGACAATTTCCTCTGTATTAACACCCGGTTTTTTAAGAATCCTCAGGGAATACAGGCGTTTCGAAGCTTTTTTCGATATGTAATATATATGCTCGTTCCACTTTAAATCATTACTGATTATAATAGCGAGTAATTTATAAGTTGTTACACATTCAACGGTGTTGTTACCTGGGACAATTGGTCTTGTAGTAAACTATCATTTTGCATGAAGTTAATTAACATTTCTTTGCATTTTTTCGGGTTTAATTTCATATTATGTTCGATAGAAACTTGTGAATATCATTGACAGCTACATTTAGTAAGCTAATACCGTTTCTTGGCAGGATTTCTAATGGTATCATCAACGAATTTAATCCTCAAATGCCATTCACGCAAAAGATTGTTGGTCATTACAGCAAACAAAATCACACCCAGTTTCGTCCCTTGTGGGATACCTCCCCTGGGTGACCTCCAATCAGACAGAGAGTTACCAATCCTTGCAGCTTGCGATCTCCAGTCAGGAAGGCACTAATCCAGTTAATAAAGACAGTGTCTATATGGAAAGACGCCAACTCCCTGAGAAGAATTCAATGGTCAATCAGGTCAAAACCCTTAGAGACATCGGCAATTCCCACAATTCCCACCATCAGTTGCTTCGTCAATCGTCTGTAAGATATAAATCAAGGCGTCCGTGGTGGAGTGCCCCTCCCTTGCGTACTGGCGTGGATTAAGTTTTTCCGAAATTTGCTCCACGAGCCTGCTGCGCGCAAACCCTTCCATGACTTTGGCAAGGGTGCATGTCAGAGAGATAGTTCTCAAACTCATTATTAATTCATGCTGAGAAAACAAAGGAAATTACAACTGTGAAGGAGGTTTGAATATGTGATATTAATTATCCTAAAATTTGGCGAATTTTTGCTTTGATTTTCTCCAAGAATTATTAATGGTCTGAGAAGCTATATCAAACATTCGAGAGAGTGTTTCGTCCGATATCCGAACACCTTGAAGTTGGTTAAAAAAACTCGGCTGCGCCTCGTTTTTTCAACCACTTCTCGGTGTTTAGATATCGGATGAAACACTCTTCCTCGTGTTTGATATATCACGTCTCAAGTCAGATTGAATTTCTTGAGGCGGAGAAACCTTGGGCTGGGGGTTGATTATGGATCGCTTCAGCAGATCAGGAACATATCCCTCCCTGAGTGAGCATTTATAAATATCCACAATTAGCGGGGTGAGTTCAAATATTGATGACCGTATAACTTTTTTTCATCGTATCATAACTATACCACTTTGCCTGATTATTTCTCTCGCATCATATACAAAGATTTTTCGCACTCTCAGATATCATCAGGCTCAGGCTGAAGATCCTGTTCAACATCAGCCGAGCCAGCTAAATGTACTGAACATAGCTCAATACAGAAAAGCAGTGCATAGTGCACTGTGGGTGAAGTTAGCATTAGTTGTTTGTTTTGCACCATTCTTTATCGTGGTAACCGCGATTGCACATAGTAAAACACATTCATCGCATTTGGTCATCCTAAGGGGAATAACCGTTGTCTTAGTTACTTTAACTCGACGTTAAACCCGTTTCTTTACTGATGGAAGATAAGTGAAGTAAGACAAGCAATGAAGCAGACAATCCGACAAACACTTTGCTGTCCATGGAGTTAGACCATCTCGACTTTTACCCGATCGTACTGGTACTTTCAGTTCAAAACTGACTGATAGGGAACGCTCGTCAATCAGCTACACCATGATATATATCTTTGCTCGAGGTCTCTCGATTGTATTTTTCGCACCTTAACAACTAAAGGGAAGGCAATGGAAAAACTAACCATAAATTTATGAAAGTATTCTTAAAACTACCTCACATTATCATGAATGAATCAATTCATAATCTAAGAAAAGATATGCGCGCGTATGATCATACTCTCACGTTTGTTATTGTAAGTAAGTGTACGGAACAAAATTGAAGTAAGAACGGTTTATACAAAGTTCTCTTTCAGGTTCACCGTTCCGCTGAAATTATATGCTAAAGGAAAAAAGGAATGTTGAATGAAAAAAAAATATCGACTTTTAAAAATATCAGATAGAAAGGGTCGCTTTATTTCCAGTTTGTTCATGGTGTATTTTTCAATTGTCTCCAAGTGATTTGATTCTATTTTTACCATTTTCCGAGCGATTAACTGTCCTAAACTTTCCCCTATATTTCTTTCAAGTCGTTTCATAAAGTTTTATTGAATTCAGAATTGACCCAAAATACAGCGAGAATATTTCCAATTGATTATCGGGCTTAGATATAGCAGTATATCTAAATATACTGCTTATTTCTTTACTTAAAAAAAGTCGCAGTCGAGTTCCTTTATTGTTTTGAAAACAGTAATATAGCTGATGTCTTCATGTTTGCCAAGGGATATGACTTTAGTGCTAATTTGTACTTGAGGTAAATTTTACTGATTGAGGTAAACAGCTAATAGCGGCCAATTTAAACACAGCGGTCAAACACTGCGCATGCACATGTTTTGAAAGAATACGAGGGATTTTCAAACGCGTGTATTACGTGAAGTGAAGAAGGAAAAGTTAAATTCCTAAATATTCCAAATTGAATGCGTAATGCAGTTGAAAGAGGGTTTTCGGAGAAATTTAAGCTTGGCCTTATTTTATAGTGAGATATCTCATCTTATTTTTAACGGAGACGCTTTGTTCCGGCGATAAAGGTAAATTACAGAACTTTTCCTTTACCCTCGCCAGCACGGCCAAGCTAACAACTTCTTCACACCGCCAAGCAAAGTTTAAAAGAAAGTACGAGAGTGTAAACTAGCACAACATGGGTTAAGTCTAGAACAACAATGCGTATAAGTCTAGGCCTTAGAAAACTTTGAACTTTTCCAAGAAACTGCGAAAAACTACATATCACTTAGACTTTCTCTGCGCTCGATCTGCGCGCACGTTTTATGTTACTTAAGGTAGCTCATGTGGCTTAGTATTTTAGATTCTGTAGTGCAGAATGTTTTGTTCTTTGTCAAATCCAAAGTGAAGATATGCACTTTCTTTGAAAGGAATTTTAACAAAATTTACCGTGGAAAGCGAGTATTAAATAGGTGGGCGTTTATGCTGCGTGATACATGTTCTTTTAGCCAGCTGCGTAAAAGGCTCTCAAGAGGAGAGGAGAGGAGACTACCCTCCCTTTGGATGACTGGCTACGCAGACTAACGTACACTTACCAAATGAAGGTTTTCAAACGTGCGTGCAACATTTCCGACGTTAACCTCTTCCAGGTTAATAACCTCGGTTGTTATGGACGTACTGTACAACTAAAAACATTGAGCTTAATTGAAACAATTAGGGCCCTTCCGCAGTACGCAAGTCTCTGTAAAATTTGAAAAAAAATTAGTACAAAACTCTTTTTAACAAATGCAGACGTACAGTTATTTTAATCCCTGCCAAATTATGTCAAGACGAACAAAACTTCAAAAGTACGGCCGTCCTGCCTCCTAACAGGACAGATTTTGTCAACAGGAACTCATTAGGGTAATGAGCTCCTGTGTCAACCATAAAAATCTGACAGATAAGTGCCTAAAGGTTTTTATAATTGATTAACCAGTTCACGTGAATTTTACGAGGTGAAATTGACAGCTCGTAGTTGGCAAATCACATTTTTTTGTTTTTTAGGTGCTGACCTGGGGGTGGGGGGAGAAGGGTTAGGCGATGAGAAATGGGTGAGGATGCTTGTCGTACCTTTTAGGGGTCAAAATCAGCGATCTGGTACCTTTTACGGTGTCTGAAACTTAAGTGGACTACCAGAGACGTAGTTGGTACCTTTTAGGGTGTTTTTTCGCTCAAAAAAAAAATCCTGAAATATGCATTACTAGGAAGATTTTTGTCTTATGTACAGGGTCCCCCGGGGGATGCTGATACGTGCAGTATGCTTCAAATTTAGCAAGGACAAATTTTGATGTGATTTTTGGTGAAGAGAAACAAGTTTTGTCAGCGTCTAATAGCTAGTACGGGAGGGCCCTTTACTACTGTGTGCATAATTACGCGTCTCGCCAGACGGCGGGAAGCTAACAAAGTGTTCAGACATTGGTATAGAAAACTCCGCCTGTGTTTGGAGTTTTGGTAGCCTACTGACCAATTCCCGGTCGAGACTTAAGTCTGACAGGACGCGTAATTTTGCACACGGTGGTAAGTAGCCTACTTACCGGAGCCAGGTTGTATGAATTTTCCAGATACCTTGAGTATTATCCGTGAAACACGCTTGCCAACTCCCCTATCGCCTTTTGGAATCGACTTGACCCTGCCTTCACCATGGCCGGTCACCTCTTTTGGCACTCTACATTTGCTATTGGAACCACGACTCCACCCAACACCGAGATTTGATCCATGAGTGGGGCAAATTGTCAAATCATCGATATCTTTCGGCGTCTTGAAGATGCCGGCTCGCGACAAAATCAGATCAACTTTATTTTCTGCATCTGAAAACTTACAACTCCGCAAGTGGCTTGAAATGTCTTTTTTACAACTACGCAAGGGAACGACTTGAGAAATAAAACTTTGGTCTTCTCGATAACTAAACCCACAAGTTCCGCCAGCGAACGATTTGAATGAACAACAAATCTCCATGTTAGCAAGTAAGATGAGACACTTATACAACACATCAACACACTAAATCAGTATGTAGCTTGTGAATCAAATTGACTTTTGAAAACATTCTCTGACTTACGCCGGCAAAGGAATCATTGATGAATCTAGACATTTTAGTTTTCTGAATACAGAAATTCCTAGAAGGTTTTTCTAGATATCGTGCAAAGAGGAAAAAAATACAATCTATTGGTATTTCGGAGGTTGATCCATCTTTGAATTTGTGTCACGCTTGTCATGCAA